ATTTATTTTAGGAGGCAATCTGCTATTTTCAAAACAAAATGATAACAACGTAAAGGTAAAACGTTTTCGTGTAAAAGTTGACGATATTTATTATTTTGTTCCTATTATGTTATGTTATTATACTATTTTGTAATAGCATCTTTCTAATGGTCTATTTTAAAATCAATAGAGCCAAATGTCCCGAAACTACACTACAGAATAGCAGATTTATGTTTTCTTAAATGTTACGAGATTGTAGTAAAGTTCAACATTTTCAGGACTATCAAGAGAATAAAACTTATCTCTAACACCACACACACACACACACACACACACACACACACACACACACGTGTGTGGAAAACGCTGATATACTCGTATAATAGTATCATACATATAGTATAATAGCTGCATTCAACAGAAATAACAATTTACTGAAAATCTATGAGCATTTCACATTACGTGTGTACTATAGATTTTTAATACTTACAATGATTAACGAAAAGCAATCAGTATAAATTTACACGTTGAATATATGCACATATTTTGTTATTTATAATTTAGTTTAATTATATCATTGGAAGCCACATTCAATGTCTTCAAATTAGAAAGAAGTTATAAAATTAATACCAATATATCTCTCTCTCTCAAAACGAAGTAAAGCATACGCAGTTTTGTAAAACTGTGTAATTTAATATGCTGTGTAACCTAATATGAAATTGAAATGCTTTTATAACGCAGTAAGCACTATACCTAATGACCAATGGCTATTTTATACACGTCTAATTATAACCACACTGTGAAAGAAGAATTTTGACTATCACTCCCAGAACATAACACAAACTGGATAAGATATTGTAATATTCCACCAACCCTTGTATTCCATAACGTCTCCTTTACTCTAAGTAAATAACATCTAAATGAAAAAAAACTGTATCCATATATTTATTTCTTTCCTCGAAATAAGTTCACAAATTTCGTCTCCAATTTAATTATACAAATTTTCTTATCTCCCTTAAATTCTAATTCTCTGACAAATCAAGTAAATATACTTTCACTTACAGGACAATATAGCTTAAAATATCCTTTATGTTTACCTTTAAATAAATATATTACTATATCGCTGGACATTTGCATGCCATTATATGCTGAAGAGAAATGTACTGAGAAAGAGAAGAAACTTTTAATAACAGTATTAATGAGATAAGAGATCAACAAATCGAATCATGATAAGGTTCGATGGTTCTCAACCAATTTTTTTTTCTCTGTGATATTTTACTCGTCAGCAACAATATAAAGAAAAAACAGATATACTGGTTGTGAAAATACAAACGTGAAAAGAATTATAATGAACAAGTAGCTCGTAGACACATTCGAGAAGTTTCGGAATATATCATAGATTCAGTAATTATATTTAGCAGATTTTTTTTAATGATTCAGATTCGTCAATTAGGTACAATAAAATATGTCGATTTTTTTTTAATAAAATATGACAATGTTCAATATATTCAACCACGGTCAACGTACGACGGCTTCTGGATCATTAGAAATAATTTTAGTAGCCGAGGTAAATTGGCCGAGGTAAATAGCTTAAAGTGCGGTCTATGGTAGCGCAGGATGATCGTAAAATTTACAAATTGTCAATCTCTGTGCATTAAAGTGCGACATTGTAATCCCATAAGCGCAACATCTCACCCCTCCAACTATCGCGCGCAGTTTCTCTTCGAGCTTACAATTACCTGTATTCAAAGAAGGATCGAACAGGTGAAAAATCGATACATATACCGGGCGCCGAGTATCCCGAATAGTAGATATATTTTCATGATAAAGAGAAATATATGATAAAAAATACAGTAAAAGGAGAAATTTGAGAAACACCGACCAGAGAAAAATAAATCATCGAATACAGAGAGGAGGAGAGAGGGTGGGGCAGAGAGGAAGAAAGAAAAGAGAGAGCTAAAAGCGGAAGTTAAATTAGAGATGACATATGAGTCGCAATCCGATTGACACTCACAACGCTTATTTGTCCTTTGTTTAACAAATAATGAGGATGATTTTTAAGCGCGTGAGCGTGAATCGGATCGTGGCCATAAACAGACATCGAATTCGTGTTCTTTTGAATTTGAATTAGTGTAACGTAACACAATTACTACTAGAAAGAAAAATAACGGTTTCCTCTTTCCGAATGTAAGCGAAGAAAAGAAGAAAAATGATTTCCAATAGAAAGTTACATTTGACGGATTTCTAGTACAATTATTCTCTTTCTTTCCGATATGTTTTCTTTTTAATTTAAAGAAACAGTTTTATATTATTGTGAGCGACATATTTGAGTCTGATTTTTCTACAGTCATGTCGCGTTACGAGGATCATTCTCTCTTATTTTCTACTCTTACTTTAATAAAAATTCGATCATATTTTAGACTTGCTGCAGTTTTTTGTGAAATTTTATTCATTATAAAATAAAATAAGATTTGTTAATTGAAAAGCATTAAGAAGAACAATAATCAAAAACGAGCAAAAGTTGATAATAAATTTAAGAAGTAATAATTTATTCTCTAGTAATTTAAAAGAAATGTATGTTGTGTGTACATTGTGTGTGTGTTTCGATTATATTTATGCCTAAATTCTAATCAGAATAGTAAGGCTCGTACATATTCATAATTATAAGACTTATTAAGAACTTTTAAATACTTATACCTTTATTACAATATTTTTACAGACAACTTCTTATCAGTCATAAGGTTTACAAGAAATCGTAGATATTTACTAATCGTACGTCTTACAATACATAAAATTAGAATACCAGTTTCTTATAAATTTTACGAGAACAAGTTACGAATCTTACAATTCTGATTAGAATCGATGCATTAGTTTTCATCAGAAAGACAAATAATAATAAAAGAAAACTAATAATAAGAATATTGACATTTCAATGAGAGTCAGACTTAAAATGTCGAAAACTCTAAACAATAAAGTAATAAAATTATAATAATACCCCGACTATCACCAAGTCGAACGATAAAATTAAAATCAAACAAGTTCCAAGGAATAATAATTTAAAATTGTGATAACTGATTCGTTAGAACTTGATTGGTTATGCATTGTTTATATCATCGACTTTTGGAATTTACTTACAATTAGTTTTATCGTTTAACTTGATGACATTTTTATTATAATTTTATTAATTTGTCATTCTCTTATTGTGTCTCTGTATTTACACCGTTTTAACATACATTTATTATATACTCTGCTTATTTGTTTATAATCTGTTCATTTTTAATTATTGTCTCTTCAGTTTGACGTTACATTGTCAATATCTTTATTGTAATTTTTCTTTTGATGTTTATATCTGATTGATGAAAACATATAATCAAAATGTACATTTGTCTTTTTAAATATACAGAATAAATCATTTGTAATTTCTTAATTTTAAATTTTTGCTTTTTTATATTTTATTCTTTACTTTGTTTTCATTCGATTCTGTAATGTTTATGGAGTAAAAAAGTTCGAGTTGAAAAGTGAGAAGTATCATAAAAATAATAATTATTATAAATAATAATATGTTTTTCAGCTACGTTCTGCTCATGCATTTGCGTAGTTTTTAACGTACGTAATGCTCATTTATAATAAGTAATACAATGTCCAGAAAAATTTCATCCCCTCTTTGGGCAATTACAATATTTTTATTAAATTGTATCCTCTAAAAAGAGGGGAAAAAATAAAATTTCACATACAGTGCAAAAAATATTCGTGTATAAAGAAAATTTTTATTAAAAAATCCTTATTCATAAAAAATAAATATTAATTAGGAGTTTTACACTATGACTACATTCTGTCCTGTCCTAATATAAACAAAAGAGCTTCGCGTATTCTTAATCTTACAATTAGAAAATGAATTTTTCAATTATACGAACACTTTCTGTCCATTCAAATAATATAATTTTTTATTTTCATTTTTAAGAAACATATTTTAATTATTATATATCATTTCAGGTAAAATAATTTTGACAAATGTATATTAATGATTCTTTGTTAATAAATTGCTAATTAGGTAATGTTTGCTTTTTAAAAATAAGAATTTAAAAGAGGTATCACAGTGTTATATTATTTTAAAAAAAAATGAATACATTACGCCAAAGATTATACTTGTAAAATAAAAAAAAATTGAAATTCTAATAAGTATAGCTTCCAAGGTATCTCATATTTTATATGATTTTCCACCTTTTAATGACAGTATTGAATAAATTCATTATTGTTGTCTGATACATCAAACAAAAAGCATTTAATATTTCTCGATTGCATATAATTATAAAAATTTCCTTTTTTACGCGCATGTAGAAACTTACATATGGTAATCAATGCATGGTAATCAATGATAAATTCTTCTTATAATTAATTAATACGTTCTTGTAATTAATATATAAATTCTTCTGAAAGTGCTCGAAGAAATACAAATAACTACAGAAGATATTTTGGAAAATAGTGGAACGAATTAGATCTAACACTGTCTCTTTTTATAGTATTATTTTAAACAAACACAATTTGAAGGCAGTAAGTTAACAGCCAGCGCGCGCAGAATATATAATTTTCGATTGATGAGAGTTGAAAAAAAGAACGCAAGATGGTCTTTTTGCGTCGAGTAATCGTGTATCAAATTTTATGACTGTACACGTCGTTTTATTTTGCGATCTTAATTCTACACACATTATAGACTCTCAAGAACTTTTAAGATTTTATACGATCATTTAAAATGTGCTTCAAGAGAGGAAATTAAACGTTAGGATGTTTGTACATTTCTACATTGAAAACAGATTTTTGTGTAAAGTGATGGTTATATTATTTTTCTATTACAAAAACGTTCTAAATATATTGAAGACAAAGACAGAAATAAACGTTACCACTTTGGACAGGAAATAGGAAAACGATACAACATGCGTGATTCGCGCGATTTCGAACATCCGGTTCGTATCAGAAAATTTCGTGCGGGTTAAACTCGGAATATTCAACGTTTCTTTACTCACCAGATAATCCTCGTTTTTCGGCGAATAATCGGGATAATCGATATTAGTAGTATCGTCACCCATCATGCTCCTCTTCCCGAAACATTCAAAACTACCAGTGATTATCGATACCACAGCCACCACGACCAAGGAAATAAAGCTAAAACCCATATTAACGGCGATCTTGAATCCTATCGCCGGATGTTAAGTTGAGACCACCTCAGCTTTTACGACATGCGGCGATTAAGTTCCAGAAAGAAGAAATCGGCTCGCAATAATATTCGATCGCACAAAAGATGTTTCTTGATCCAGGGTTCCAACCCTGATATCGGACACCGGAAGGATAAGGATGTCTCTCGATGTCACCTAGACGTGTGCTCGATCCCGGTCGATCGGGCGCGACGTGACGTTCTTCGGGGTGGCGCCGATCCCTCGGCTCGGAGCTGGGAGCACCGACCGCCACTGGGGGTGTCGGGACTTCAGCGAAGCTGAAGGACGTACGTCGGGGGATGCAATGTGACGCTGGCGGTGGGCAACCACGCTCCTATATACTTCGCTTCTGCACGCAGGCGCCGGTACTTTCCCGGCGTTAGAAAGACGAAGTCTCGCGCGAGGAGACTGACCGCGTGTCTACTTGTAAGGTGTCTTCTCCACTGTTGCGCTTCCGCTGTGCGAGTACGTCAAGTTGTGCGGCGGGCTGGAGGGAGAGGGTGGCCACTTTTACTTATCTTTCTCAATAAAAGATAATTACCTATAATATAATTGGTCTCTTTTTCAATAACACTTACGGCTTACGCGAAGCTAATGAAGAAACAGATATCTTGATATAGCACGAGTTTTATGCTTACCCTTATTTATAACGGATGATAATTAAAAGTTTTCTTTTTCTTTTTGAGTCGCTTTGAAAAAGCAGCTTGCACAACGTTAATGAAGAGATAAGTCGAGTAGGAAGTTACTTGCTTATCTTCTTTAACTCTAAACTACAATATTCCGAATGCGTTTGTTGCGCATTTTACCAAAAGTGTAATGTGAGTGAAATGTTTCTTCTTTTGATTGCGTAATAAAACGTCTTGTGCACAATGAAAAATTAATTAAACCGTTATTATATTTGTAAATTAATTATTGTTTAGTTAGAAGAAGAATTTAAGAATCGCAAACTTAATGTGTAAATCGATATTGTCTTCTTTTCTTAAGAAAGTAAAAAGCGCATATCTTGTTGTTATATATTTTGATTTGCATAAATATTGAGTCTACATAAATAAAGCTACAATAACGAAACAAGTTGTGTAACAAGAACTTTTAACTTATTTTTCTAATAAAAAGTTATTGAAATTTAAAGTACAGTCAAACAATAAAGAAAATTGAACCTAAAGTTGAACTAATCAAAATAAAATTAAAGTGTTATTCTTAGATTTAATTTTGCTACAAGAAGATAAAATAAGTAATATACCTTTAATAAAAATTATATAGTCTTTATATTTTCAAAAAAAATAAAAGTCTTATTGTGGAAATAAAATATGTTTTATCTTTTTGTTCATTCCCTAAAATAAATAAATTTCCATACATCAAATTAAGAAATTATATAATATAAAGATCTTTTACAACGATTTACTATATTTAAGTTGATGCCTCACGTGACTCTTTTAATTTACAGTTCGCGTTTCAACAGATTTCCTAACGGTTTAACAGGTGCAACTGAGAATGAAAGCGTCACATCGGGCTGAGAGAACGAAGTCGATGATTCAGTGAAGAAAATAACTCTAGAGATGAAAACTCATTTCTATCTCTAGTGTTATAATTTTTCACAGAATTGTAGATTTTGTAGAATTATTTATATACGATAAATTATAATACATTCTCAGAGCGGAGTCACAAACTCTAAATTAATTAATAATAAATTAAAAGAATATTCAAATAAGAAGCAATATGAAATTTGATTATCAACATTTGACTAATTTTTAAAGACATTTAAGTTATGATTATTATAACAATTTAGAAAAACTACCCCTTGTGAATTGTAATGATTTTGATTATTTTTTAATGAAGTTCATTTTTTATATTTGATATAAAAAATAAATACAAAATAATATATTTGATAAGATATCTTTATTTATTTATTCATGCTAATAATTTGAAAATTATCGGGTTTTGAGTTATATTACTTTTAAAGTAAGAGATATATTACAAAATCACGACGTATACTGTATGGTAGAATCTTAGAAATAGATGGAAAGCATTTTATCGATAAAAATGAGGTGTAAGTACGGATCTAAGATCCATCGTTTAGATAGTTTATAAACTCTATAAATGAAATAGTTAAATTCACATTATTCTAGAAAAATCAGCTATAAAAAAATGAACAAAAACGTTGTAAATATGAGTATATAGGACATACATACGCTGCGAAGGAGAAAGAAATCAAGGGATATATATCTTCAAGGAGGTTGCAGAATTTTTTCTACCATAACGGGGAAGTTCTCGGCGTATCCGCCTCTCATTAACAAGACGAACGTGGTAACGGGACGCGTTACTTGCAATTATCTGCAAAATAGCTGAGTTTTATCGACTACCGTTTTTCAGTAGACGTGAGTGGGAGTTATTGCCTGTAGACGCGAGTAAGAATTCGAAAGTGCAACGTCAAAGGTAAAACTGTAAAGGAGTTAAAGGTTGACCATTTTTTAAAGATGTCAACGTCGCGACGCTGTATGCCGTGCGTTTTCTCATCAGCCTTCTCGACTTTCTTCTACCTTTTTCCTATTCTGAAATTATATACGAGAATCGATGATTTTTCCCAGTCGGGTTTATCCTACCAGATGCACACACGCTCTCTCATCCCTCTAATAAAATACAAAAAACTTAAAGTTGTTTTATTCATCAGGTAACGTAATCCACAATAGAATAAGAATTATGAGATACTTACTATCATCTCTCTAATCTTCTCTCTAACAATAAGAGATGATGTAATTTATGTTAATTTTGAGGATATTATTGTATTTTATGTTAATTAGGAAGAATTAGTTCCACTTTTTATCGGTCGTTTTTGTAATAAAGAATAAAAGACAATCGCATGAGGCATAAAATGATAGAATTATTATCAATTAGACATTAGACACTACTCTCATATGTATACGTTTTTTCTAATAGTTTTTCTAAAATGTATATATTAGAATCAAATTAGAGATGTTATTACAAATTGAAGATTGTAGCCAATATAAAATGCGCATATGACTGTGTGTCTGAGATACTTCTAAAGTTCAGAATCTACGATCGTCGTAAGATGTCTCGGTATTTTCCATCCGGAAGTGATGAAGCTGTCGAAAAATTACGATCGCGACAAGTATTTCATGGCAAAAAGGAAAAACGATTTAATTAGAGGGCCGTCAGTGTCACGTACATCCAATAATTAACGACTAATAACTTTCGGCTTGTCGCCTCCTACACGATGAACGGTCACTCGTTCAAATATTTTTAGAAATGTTATTGTCAAAGTTACATGTTAAAAAAAGTATTATCCTGATAATATTCTATTTTTTACAAGAGTTGCATTGAAATTTTTTTTCTTATAATCTCTCTCTCTCTCTCTCTCTCTCTCTCTCTCTCTCTCT